TCAGACTTCTGCTGTTCTGAACTCAGACATCCAGACACAGCTCTTGCTCTTTATTACAGGCAGGACTTGTTATTAATTTTAGTGCTGACGGGATCAGTCTGAATCTGCGCCTCTTGAACACCCCAAACTTCAGGGAGTTCTGCCAGAACACCTGTATGTGAGGAAGGTGTTCCTGGAGGATGAAGGCCAGCCTTGTCCTGCTCTCCTGTGACCACTCCTGGAGGAATCATGGAGAACTCACCTTTGGAGAAGGCCGTGGCCAAGCTCTCCCTACACTTGGAGGTGAAGCTGGCATTAGGAGTGGAGGTGAAGAACAGTAACCCTTGTGGCTGTAAAAAGGAAGGCTTTGAGAAAAAATACCTACTCCCCTGTAACAAGTGAAAAAAAAACAGGCCCGTGAAGCCAAGTTACAAAGGAGATGGAGTCAAGGGAAGTCTGAAGTAGATCTCAAGGCTCTGCAGAGCCCGGTGCAGTTCTAGGTGCTGGGCGTGTAAGGGTGAGCAGTTCTCACCTGAGCTCCCTCCAGAATCCTCTCTCACTTCCACAGAGAATATCTGTATCTCCCAGAGCCTCTTCCAAGCATTTTCCTTGGTTCATTAGGTGATAATAGAAAGTGATTTTCCCCCTGTAATCTTGAGCAATCAGAAGCATTAAGAATAAAAGCCTAAGCCTGAAAGCCTAAATGAGAGGGTTTGATGGCTATGTGTATCTGCCTCCTTCACTGCAGCAAGAAGCAAGGATGGATCCCAGAGTTTGTGTTTCTGGAGAATAAACAAGCAAGAAACAAGGATCATGGTCAAGTAGCGTCAAGAGATAATTGAGGTTTGGGGCTTAGATTCCATTCCCAGATCTGCTGAACCCCAGAGAGGCAGTTTCTCTGCCTTCACTGGTAGGAAAGCAGTAACTGTGTCCCAAAAGTGGTCCATTAGTGGACTTTTTGTAAAACGAGAGGGTTACCTGTCAGCTGAGAGCTGGGGGGGCACAGAAAATAACTCAGGTGGTGGTCCTTCTCCTGGTCTGTGAGTGCTTGGAGATGACCTGGGAGATGGTGCTGAAGTGGCAGGGGCAGTTACTGCTCAGGAACGACCCTGCCAGCTCTGCCAGTGGCTGGTTGGCACATGGCAAATCCATTTCCCACTGTCTGGAAGGCAAGTTCGACTTGCCACCACCTCCCCCTGTAAGCAGGCAACTCATGAGACACAGCTTGGGGCCAAGCTGAGAACTTTTTGTTGTTCTGGGAACTCTGAGACAGAGCTCACACAGAACTCTCACAGTTTTGCCACCTGGTAAGACTTGCGGGCCATTTTTCTTGCCCTGCGTTTAAGGGGATAATTTATTTTTATTTCCCTTCTAGGTAGGATTCTTCCTGCCCAGTCGATCCTACTCAGCATCCAAAGGCAGGGAACTCCATCTTGGTGACGTGACGAATCTCTGTAACAACCGCACAACTTAATTTTGGGCCGCGTCGTCCTCTCGGGGCAGCTTCACACGGACCTCGTGCCACGGCATGTGATGGAAAACAAATTTACGCCGTGTCTCCCAAGCCTGGCTCCATCCCTACACGGGAATGAGAAGGATGCAGCCTGCCTTCCCAAGGTACAGCACAACGGGAGGCTGCCAGGGAGAGCGAGCAGCGG